GTGAGTTGGCGATCAATGTAAGTAACAGCGATCACGACATGCAAAATCTCTCCGAGTGTACGTGTTTGTTGTATGAAATGTGAGTGGGCGATCATACTCACTGAATCATCACTCGCCAACACCTCACATCTCGGCCGAAATCGCCATCAACAAATATCAGCCAGGATTGACATTCATTCACCTGTCGTCGTCTCCGTTGTCACGATGAGGAAGAGTGTAGTGTATATTGATTGACACGCTGCCGACTCATTCACTACACTTGCCACACTGCTTTCTTTTTCAGAATCCCCAAAGGCTGAGATAATCGAGGAGGAGGAAATCGTACCGGCGTCGTCAGGTGAGTATATTTCACACTCACACTCGAATCCGTACATAACACCGGCCACTGTCCACACACAAACAAACAAACACACACAGACACATTCATGCACAAACACACAGTACTACAGCCAGTATCACCCCTGAAATGCGCACACCACTTGACTACAGACAACACTCACAATCACTGGTGTCATGCACGCATTCAAAGTGTCAGAGTGAAATCCACAATGGCACACGCACACGCACACGCACACACACGCACATATGTTGAGTGGATGAGGTGGGAAGACATGTGACTCATTGGTTGTGGCCCTCATGGATTGAAGTAGTTGTGTGTCTTACGACTGTCGTGAGGTCCGCCTTACCATGTCAATCGTGCATGTGACGAACTCGACGACGACGACTGTGTGTGTTTGTGTGTGTGTGTGGGTTTGTGTGTGCGCACATGACTGAAGTCGACAGACTTGCACAGACTTCATTCACAATGACATCGTGCAATTCGATGATGTTCGTGAGAGACAGAATTTGATGCGTGGAGTGACGTTAGCAGTGATGAGACACCAGTGTGAGTTGGCGATCAATGTAAGTAACAGCGATCACGACATGCAAAATCTCTCCGAGTGTACGTGTTTGTTGTATGAAATGTGAGTGGGCGATCATACTCACTGAATCATCACTCGCCAACACCTCACATCTCGGCCGAAATCGCCATCAACAAATGTCAGCCAGGATTGACATTCATTCACCTGTCGTCGTCTCCGTTGTCACGATGAGGAAGAGTGTAGTGTATATTGATTGACACGCTGCCGACTCATTCACTACACTTGCCACACTGCTTTCTTTTTCAGAATCCCCAAAGGCTGAGATAATCGAGGAGGAGGAAATCGTACCGGCGTCGTCAGGTGAGTATATTTCACACTCACACTCGAATCCGTACATAACACCGGCCACTGTCCACACACAAACAAACAAACACACACAGACACATTCATGCACAAACACACAGTACTACAGCCAGTATCACCCCTGAAATGCGCACACCACTTGACTACAGACAACACTCACAATCACTGGTGTCATGCACGCATTCAAAGTGTCAGAGTGAAATCCACAATGGCACACGCACACGCACACACACACGCACATATGTTGAGTGGATGAGGTGGGAAGACATGTGACTCATTGGTTGTGGCCCTCATGGATTGAAGTAGTTGTGTGTCTTACGACTGTCGTGAGGTCCGCCTTACCATGTCAATCGTGCATGTGACGAACTCGACGACGACGACTGTGTGTGTTTGTGTGTGTGTGTGGGTTTGTGTGTGCGTACATGACTGAAGTCGACAGACTTGCACAGACTTCATTCACAATGACATCGTGCAATTCGATGATGTTCGTGAGAGACAGAATTTGATGCGTGGAGTGACGTTAGCAGTGATGAGACACCAGTGTGAGTTGGCGATCAATGTAAGTAACAGCGATCACGACATGCAAAATCTCTCCGAGTGTACGTGTTTGTTGTATGAAATGTGAGTGGGCGATCATACTCACTGAATCATCACTCGCCAACACCTCACATCTCGGCCGAAATCGCCATCAACAAATATCAGCCAGGATTGACATTCATTCACCTGTCGTCGTCTCCGTTGTCACGATGAGGAAGAGTGTAGTGTATATTGATTGACACGCTGCCGACTCATTCACTACACTTGCCACACTGCTTTCTTTTTCAGAATCCCCAAAGGCTGAGATAATCGAGGAGGAGGAAATCGTACCGGCGTCGTCAGGTGAGTATATTTCACACTCACACTCGAATCCGTACATAACACCGGCCACTGTCCACACACAAACAAACAAACACACACAGACACATTCATGCACAAACACACAGTACTACAGCCAGTATCACCCCTGAAATGCGCACACCACTTGACTACAGACAACACTCACAATCACTGGTGTCATGCACGCATTCAAAGTGTCAGAGTGAAATCCACAATGGCACACGCACACGCACACGCACACACACGCACATATGTTGAGTGGATGAGGTGGGAAGACATGTGACTCATTGGTTGTGGCCCTCATGGATTGAAGTAGTTGTGTGTCTTACGACTGTCGTGAGGTCCGCCTTACCATGTCAATCGTGCATGTGACGAACTCGACGACGACGACTGTGTGTGTTTGTGTGTGTGTGTGGGTTTGTGTGTGCGCACATGACTGAAGTCGACAGACTTGCACAGACTTCATTCACAATGACATCGTGCAATTCGATGATGTTCGTGAGAGACAGAATTTGATGCGTGGAGTGACGTTAGCAGTGATGAGACACCAGTGTGAGTTGGCGATCAATGTAAGTAACAGCGATCACGACATGCAAAATCTCTCCGAGTGTACGTGTTTGTTGTATGAAATGTGAGTGGGCGATCATACTCACTGAATCATCACTCGCCAACACCTCACATCTCGGCCGAAATCGCCATCAACAAATGTCAGCCAGGATTGACATTCATTCACCTGTCGTCGTCTCCGTTGTCACGATGAGGAAGAGTGTAGTGTATATTGATTGACACGCTGCCGACTCATTCACTACACTTGCCACACTGCTTTCTTTTTCAGAATCCCCAAAGGCTGAGATAATCGAGGAGGAGGAAATCGTACCGGCGTCGTCAGGTGAGTATATTTCACACTCACACTCGAATCCGTACATAACACCGGCCACTGTCCACACACAAACAAACAAACACACACAGACACATTCATGCACAAACACACAGTACTACAGCCAGTATCACCCCTGAAATGCGCACACCACTTGACTACAGACAACACTCACAATCACTGGTGTCATGCACGCATTCAAAGTGTCAGAGTGAAATCCACAATGGCACACGCACACGCACACACACACGCACATATGTTGAGTGGATGAGGTGGGAAGACATGTGACTCATTGGTTGTGGCCCTCATGGATTGAAGTAGTTGTGTGTCTTACGACTGTCGTGAGGTCCGCCTTACCATGTCAATCGTGCATGTGACGAACTCGACGACGACGACTGTGTGTGTTTGTGTGTGTGTGTGGGTTTGTGTGTGCGTACATGACTGAAGTCGACAGACTTGCACAGACTTCATTCACAATGACATCGTGCAATTCGATGATGTTCGTGAGAGACAGAATTTGATGCGTGGAGTGACGTTAGCAGTGATGAGACACCAGTGTGAGTTGGCGATCAATGTAAGTAACAGCGATCACGACATGCAAAATCTCTCCGAGTGTACGTGTTTGTTGTATGAAATGTGAGTGGGCGATCATACTCACTGAATCATCACTCGCCAACACCTCACATCTCGGCCGAAATCGCCATCAACAAATATCAGCCAGGATTGACATTCATTCACCTGTCGTCGTCTCCGTTGTCACGATGAGGAAGAGTGTAGTGTATATTGATTGACACGCTGCCGACTCATTCACTACACTTGCCACACTGCTTTCTTTTTCAGAATCCCCAAAGGCTGAGATAATCGAGGAGGAGGAAATCGTACCGGCGTCGTCAGGTGAGTATATTTCACACTCACACTCGAATCCGTACATAACACCGGCCACTGTCCACACACAAACAAACAAACACACACAGACACATTCATGCACAAACACACAGTACTACAGCCAGTATCACCCCTGAAATGCGCACACCACTTGACTACAGACAACACTCACAATCACTGGTGTCATGCACGCATTCAAAGTGTCAGAGTGAAATCCACAATGGCACACGCACACGCACACACACGCACATATGTTGAGTGGATGAGGTGGGAAGATATGTGACTCATTGGTTGTGGCCCTCATGGATTGAAGTATTTGAGGTTCTTCCGACTTTAGTGACATAGGCCTTGCCATGTTATTCTTGTTTTTGCTGATGGCCGTCTCGTTGTTTTATGATATTGAGTTCTCACTGTTAAAGCATTTTCATATAAGATTTTGTTATTGTGTTGGTTTTATACTGTAGTTTTCCTTGTGACTTTTGATATTCCGAAGCACATTTATACCCGTTAACTAATATCTGTGTTTTACACTGGGATGTGGCGAAACACAGTATTAACACTTCCAGATAAGCATTAACCTCAACTGCCTGCTTCGACTAACTCCTGGGTGTGTAGGTTTAGACGCCTCATAGATTTTCCTGTGAGGTGGTTGCAGACAATCGGCTCCATGCTTTGCACCTAGATGTCACATTGCATCTGAATACATCGATTACTGTCTTAGAGGATGTCAATCGTGAGCCCGAATTGCTGATTGGTAAGGTGTTTGACTGTGGAATGGGCTACTGACGCAAGCTCAAGCCTCAAATGAGACATGAATTGTATCTAGGGAGTGAGATTCGCCTTGCTGTAGAGTTCCAACGCATATTGACAACTTGAATGACTGCGTTCAATTGAGAATAAACACAAGCACTAGACACACGATATTGGTCACTTTCCAGAAGATGAAATAGTTGAGAACGGACTGCAATGAAAACTGACTAATAATGGTCGTCTTGTTTGAAATGGCTATCCAGTTGCATTTGATTCATTATCCTATATGCTTTGTGGTGACATTTCAAGAATTGTTTTCGATGGAAATTAGAAACTCGTTAGTCACTGTGAACATTGTGAGGCATTGCTTTTGTCTGCTTTAATAGCCACTCTACTGGCACAACAGGGAGTTGACAGTTTCAGTCCTCAATATCTCGAAGGCAATGCACAAAGAGGTAAGTCTTCTGTACTTTGATATTTGTCATCAAAGTTTGCATAATTTGAGTGTATTTTGATTTCGAAAAAGACATTGGTTTGCTCATTATTTGGTAGCGTGTATGTGAGATGTTTGTGATTTAACTGGAGCACACTTGGCGGGCGTTGTTTCATGTAACAATAAATGAAACCTGGTATGATACTACTGGTTTAGTTTACGACTAGAAGAAGTTGTTTGGTGAGAAGTGGAAAGCCCAGGTTTCGTGCGTACATGGCCTCCCAGGGAACTGACCTCGCGTGAATGGTTCACTGGTAGAACGTTCGCTAATCATGCACTCCTAAACCTCGGTCATCATCCAGTTAAAGAGGAACGCTTGAGTGTAGGACTGGCTACCCCAACCAGTTGAATGTGCCACTGGTAATGATTCTCCATAGCTCCAGCTTCAGTCAGTATGTTCCACTCGAAACACAACGGAATGCAGAAATGCACTTGTTAACAGGTTGCATTGCCAAACTTCGTAGACATCATGTTCACTTCAGATTCTGGTGCGATTTGTTCTCCCTTGATGTCAAACAAAACACAAAACATTGCACCATAATCTGTAGCAGTGTTGTGCTGCTTGAGTATGCTCACCACACATGTGGATGCCTACCACTTGAGAATAGACAGTTGAATTATTAATTATGTAGGAATGGATTGATAAATCTGGTTGAATCAGTGTCGAATACAGCTCGTTTCATTTTGTGTTCTTACTCAATGGCAGATTGTGACAGAACTAATCTGTTTTCGGACATATTTCAAGTGGTATTGCTTTTCAAACTGATTGTGTGAATCGAATAGTAAATGCAAGAGAAGGCGTTTGGCGAAGAGTGAATATCTCCAGCCATGTTATTCTCAAGCTGCACAATAGCATATGTATAGTGCATATTCTAAGCAGCGAAAGCACTATTCGTGAGGAAGTGTGATCAACACTGAAGATTTCAGATGACGCATTACGTAGTGTGGAATGCGTGAATTCGGTGGAGACCAAAACCAAATGGAACAAGTCAAATGAGTGATGCAATATAGCTGAAGGGGTTGAGTATCAAGCAACTGAAATTGAACGGATGTCACATTAGCAGCAGTGGTGATAATGAGTGAAAATTTAGTAGATGGTGGTGGGAGAATATAATTGAATTCGGAAGCAAACAACACAGGAGTTACTTATCCAGTGTTGAGATAGATCTGGTCCAGTGTAGATTTGGGACTGAACAGTATTCCTTTGCATGCAGAGTTCAGGATTCCACGTGTGAGCTGTCGTTGCTTCTGGAGTCTGAAGAAGTTTGATTGGCACACTTTCAGTAAGATCACCACGTAATAGGTGGATACTTTTTAAGTTATCTAGCTGGTGTGCTTAATGTTCTGATCGCATCAAGAGTGCTGGGATAAATAAGTGGCGAGGGAATCTCTCCTCTCCTCTCAGAAATCATGAAGGTGAGTGTTCGATGGTGCATTTGGATAGCGAACACTGGCTGCGACCGACATTCCCATCTCCCCAGGATCATGTGAATTGGTGGATGTACATTGCAATCGAAACCTGACGCTGGTTCCATGCGAGTTGAATGATACTCAACCCCTTCAGCTATATTGCATCACTCAATTGACTTATTCCATTTGGTTTTGGTCTCCACCGAATTCACGCATTCCACACTACGTAATGCCTCATCTGAAATCTTCAGTGTTGATCACACTTCCTCACGAATAGTGCTTTCGCTGCTTAGAATATGCACTATACATATGCTATTGTGCAGCTTGAGAATAACATGGCTGGAGATATTCACTCTTCGCCGAACGCCTTCTCGTCTCTATGACTCAATGGGTATTTTTAAATGATGAAGAGCTGAATTGAACTTCACTACCAAGTCACTGTAACTATGGAAGCCGGTGAAAGTTTCCTCCGACTTGTTGGCATCACTCAACCTGTAGATCAGTAGCTATTGAATTCATCTCGACTGCATTTGAGGCCAGCAGATTTGAGTGACTCTAACAACAGTGCAGTGAATAAAGGTTCCTTGTTTGAAGTGGAAATTGTCGATTGCCAGTAACACATTTTTGTGCATTTGTTTTTTCCAGGGAAACGTACAACATTCAGGCTTCTTCAGGAGAAGACAGACTCCCTGGTATTCGGATGGAATCGATTTGATGAGAAAGGCATTTCAAAGCTGATTTTGGAACGGGAAGTAGACTGGGCCTTTGATGATACTTTGGATCTCCCCTTGGTTAATCAATCAGAATTCAATGTAATTGGGCAATCATGCATACCTGAAAATTATCATATAATTGCAAAGACGTCAGGCTACTTTGGTCACTATGAGGAGGCAAGGAGGAGTCTGATATACGAACGAGGTGAGTACATTTTGTGCTGCAAACTTTCATGAACATTTCAGAGTCCATAGCTACTAGAAAATAGTGGAGTCTGTAGCTGCGTCAGTCACTGAAGAGGAAGTCGCTGCTGCTGCTGCTGCTGCTGGATTCAACATAGAACTTGGCACCGAAGTGCAGCAGTTCGAGTTGCCACATTTCAAACAGCACACAAAGGTAGACAGGAAGATGAGTGAAGAGAATCAGTATAGTTTTGATAAGTATAGGAGTGAAACAGAATGAGTAATGGTAGAAAGAAATATGAAAGATTACAGAGACTGAATACATCTGCGTAAGCCATTGACAACGATTTTGAGCCATGTCACCTATTGTCTCCAGCCAATGATTCTTAGAGTCCCGAAGGCAAGCCCCAACCCGGAAGTCTGCATCTCCCTACCTGACTCAGTTTAACTGTCAGGGATTTCATGGATTGATGCCACGTTTTTGTTTGGCCACCACTTACTCTTTTCCAACCTGCACCTATATCAGCTGGTAATGCCCGTCGGGGGAGGCGATGGTTAGGCATGCAAAGCACGTGACTTAGCCATCTCAATCTATGTAACTTTATAGCCTCGTCGATTGATTTTCCCTCTTTGCCCAACACTCTACACCTGACGTCAACGTGACTTACATTTTTATGCCACCTAACGTGAGAAAGAGATCGCAAACATCTATGATCAAAAACAGACAATCTTTTCATGTCTTCAACTCGCATTGGCCATGTTTCAGAGCCATAGAGAAGGACGGAGCCAACTGCTGAGCAGTACACACGTCCCTTGGTTGATAGCCGGATGTCACGCCTACGCCAGAGACGGTGTAAGCTAGCGAAAGCAGCCCGAGCACTTTGGATCCGTTCTGAGATTTCGTCACCAATCAATCCGTTGGTGCTGATACAACTTCCCAAATAGATGAAGTGGTCAACATGTTCTATCACTTCACTCCCTATCACTAAGCTAGGAGTTGACGTAGTCCAGTCCTGTAGCAGCATCTTACATTTTACAGGGGCGACTCGCATGCCAAACATACGAGGATTGCTGCTCAAGGTGTTCAGAAGACTCTGCATTTTGTCAGCATACTCCCCTAAATCGAATGCGTGAACAGTGTAGTCTAGACCCACCCAGCAGATACTGGACATTGAATGGAATCATAAGAGACGTTGTCCGTCAGCTACGCCTTCCTAGCAATCTGTCCAGATGACCTCGACTACGTCTTCCATCAGTAGCTGAAACGGTAGCAACCAGTGCTAGGAGACCCGATCGCCGTATACAGAGGCGGTATGCCTAACCGCTTTGTCTACCATGGACAACGTTGGCATTTAAAATTCCTGAACCACGTTCTCCCTTTTTATCCTGTGGTTTATTTACAGATGTTTATTTGAGACCTCCTACAGCTTAGCAACCTCAGGTTGGCGCAATGCTTCTCAAACTTGATATTATATTTCCACAATGGTGTTCATTCCACTTGATTTAATTCAGTCTTGCCTGATGAAGGTGTGCTGATAGGACGTTTGAGTTGACACCAGCCCGTCGTTATTTTTTCATCAATATTGTTGTCCAGTTCATCGCATTTCTTGGTCTATTTGCCGTTAGTATTCATATTGTCTCACACATCACTGACTACAGACACCTTTGAAGACTGCGCTTTTGTTGGCTACGTAAATATTCACATCACTGAATTATTCAACTTCATTCTGTCGCATTTTCTCATTGACCACACGTATTCGAGATGGTGATCGGAACTCACTGACCACTACTACCGATCCGTCTTGTGTGTGCACCACTCAGAACATTTTGTGATTAATTCCAGTTCCCCGTTACTGACAGTATTGTCTGCTAGAATGAGTGGATTTATCATTGAATAACCTGAGGGAGAGTTCATTGAAAACCATTGTTCACCGTAGTTATTCTTCTTCCGAATAAATCATGAGGATACTGAACAAAAGACAACAGGATGAAACTTATTTTGGCACAAGTGAATCAGATGACTGAAAATTATTGACTTTAGAAAGCCCGAAGTCCTAGCTGATATTTCGATACTTTACAAGTGGTGAAAGCATCGTGATTCATCGACACTTTCTTTTCACATTCCTACTAAATCACTAATAACTCTAATTATTTGCATTCATTCACACAATCTCCACCGTGCACCCTATCGCCTTGTGAATGTTCACGATTTTCTTTTCTCTGTCAGTTCCGAGAGTTGCAAAGGTTGAATTCGAACCGTTGTCAAATAGAAATCAATTGGTGAAATGGACGTTGGAAGGTTCTCCGTGCCATCCCAGTGACAGTGTTATCATATTCGAAGGACAAGCTGATGAATCTCTGGAAATGACCATTGTTCCTATTGAAAGTGCAGTACCTACGAAAATAAGAAACTCGAAGGACGTTGTCATCATTTTGGCAGTTCTCCATGAAGAAAGATTCTCTCTTCCGACTCTAGGTAACTGATTCAATAATTAACAAAATTGTGTGTGAAACCTAAATTATTTCAATGCTAACATTATCTATGATATAGTTAGTTAGTGTGCATGACGCGTAATTTTGTCGACTACAGCACAACAGATTGATTTTCCCTGGTGTGTACATAATCAATGCACTCATGCGAAAATGGTGGGCATCTCTCAAAAATGAAGTCGATTGTAACGATCACCACTGAGAAACCAAATGCACAGACAGAATAACTAGACATGGAAACGGAGATAAAGGTGACATATTGAAAAAGGAATAAGTGTTGGTTCGCAGGTATTTGATTGGTCACAGGACTGATCGCTGGTTGTCATCACTCGACGAACAGCTGTATCCTCCTAGTTTGACGCTCTTCATTAGTAGGAACTCACCAGGGCTCGACCGAGGGACTTCTGGTTTCTGCACTCACACGTTCTTCAATCCTCCTCTAATTGATGTCGACTAGTGGTCACACATGCAATACGTCAAAATCCTACAAGCCGAAACTCCACAATGAATCTGATGCTCACTACCGACTGGCTCTACACTGGAAGTTCTGGAGTGGTATTGAGATGTTGTGACCAGTGCGGTCCACCAAGTCACGTAAGGAAGAACAGATACTGGCCTACGTCTTTGGTTGGTGGTTGTGATGTACATCAATCGCGATTTGTCAGAAGTTGGACAGAGTCGGAGTGGCTGAATAGCAAACAGTCAATTTTGTGGATAGATAGTTGAAGTTCCACAGACAACAAATGTAATGTCAAACAGAGTAAGAGTGAAAAGCACCACAAATAGCGGCCACGAGAATAGAACGAGGCTATTGAATGTGAGAAACGTCGGTGAGAAGTGACAGTTAGGACGGGACGAAAACAACCATGAAGGAATTCTGAACCTAGCAATCTGATAGAGGAAAAGAGAAGGAAGAGTGAAAACGTCAGTTGACAAAATACTGGCAAAAATTGTCGTGAGCAATAGTCAAGGTGTTATGTATGAAATTATGCCGCAAACAGACTATAATAATGTTGCAGAGGACTAAGACAGGGGAGACCAGAGATACGAATTCACAGATTACAGAATAAATAAAGCAATTCCAATACGATTTCACGGAGCACACAAAATGAAAGCAGAATAAATCGGAACGAGGTGAAAACAAAGACTGCACAGGGAAGTGAAGAGAAATTACAAAATTGAAACCGGAAGACAGTAACTAAATGGTCATCGATAGGAGAAAATTCCACAAAACATGCCCAAAATACTAAACAAGAGAAAGTGAAGATGGAGGAGTATGTGGATATTCTCAACAAGGAAAGAGAAAAACCACAAGAAGAGCAACAGAGAAAAACAGAATTTGTGGATAAGAAAATAAGAATAGAGCACAAGTGCACGAAAAAGGGAATAACACAAGTAACACAGACAGCGACAAGCAAATTCACTCCGAGTGTACGTGTTTGTTGTATGAAATGTGAGTGGGCGATCATACTCACTGAATCATCACTCGCCAACACCTCACATCTCGGCCGAAATCGCCATCAACAAATGTCAGACAGGATTGACATTCATTCACCTGTCGTCGTCTCCGTTGTCACGATGAGGAAGAGTGTAGTGTATATTGATTGACACGCTGCCGACTCATTCACTACACTTGCCACACTGCTTTCTTTTTCAGAATCCCCAAAGGCTGAGATAATCGAGGAGGAGGAAATCGTACCGGCGTCGTCAGGTGAGTATATTTCACACTCACACTCGAATCCGTACATAACACCGGCCACTGTCCACACACAAACAAACAAACACACACAGACACATTCATGCACAAACACACAGTACTACAGCCAGTATCACCCCTGAAATGCGCACACCACTTGACTACAGACAACACTCACAATCACTGGTGTCATGCACGCATTCAAAGTGTCAGAGTGAAATCCACAATGGCACACGCACACGCACACACACACGCACATATGTTGAGTGGATGAGGTGGGAAGACATGTGACTCATTGGTTGTGGCCCTCATGGATTGAAGTAGTTGTGTGTCTTACGACTGTCGTGAGGTCCGCCTTACCATGTCAATCGTGCATGTGACGAACTCGACGACGACGACTGTGTGTGTTTGTGTGTGTGTGTGGGTTTGTGTGTGCGCACATGACTGAAGTCGACAGACTTGCACAGACTTCATTCACAATGACATCGTGCAATTCGATGATGTTCGTGAGAGACAGAATTTGATGCGTGGAGTGACGTTAGCAGTGATGAGACACCAGTGTGAGTTGGCGATCAATGTAAGTAACAGCGATCACGACATGCAAAATCTCTCCGAGTGTACGTGTTTGTTGTATGAAATGTGAGTGGGCGATGATACTCACTGAATCATCACTCGCCAACACCTCACATCTCGGCCGAAATCGCCATCAACAAATGTCAGCCAGGATTGACATTCATTCACCTGTCGTCGTCTCCGTTGTCACGATGAGGAAGAGTGTAGTGTATATTGATTGACACGCTGCCGACTCATTCACTACACTTGCCACACTGCTTTCTTTTTCAGAATCCCCAAAGGCTGAGATAATCGAGGAGGAGGAAATCGTACCGGCGTCGTCAGGTGAGTATATTTCACACTCACACTCGAATCCGTACATAACACCGGCCACTGTCCACACACAAACAAACAAACACACACAGACACATTCATGCACAAACACACAGTACTACAGCCAGTATCACCCCTGAAATGCGCACACCACTTGACTACAGACAACACTCACAATCACTGGAGTCATGCACGCATTCAAAGTGTCAGAGTGAAATCCACAATGGCACACGCACACGCACATATGTTGAGTGGATGAGGTGGGAAGGCATGTGACTCATTGGTTGTGGCCCTGATGGATTGAAGTAGTTGTGTGTCTTACGACTGTCGTGAGGTCCGCCTTACCATGTCAATCGTGCATGTGACGAACTCGACGACGACGACTGTGTGTGTTTGTGTGTGTGTGTGGGTTTGTGTGTGCGCACATGACTGAAGTCGACAGATTTGCACAGACTTCATTCACAATGACATCGTGCAATTCGATGATGTTCGTGAGAGACAGAATTTGATGCGTGGAGTGACGTTAGCAGTGATGAGACACCAGTGTGAGTTGGCGATCAATGTAAGTAACAGCGATCACGACATGCAAAATCTCTCCGAGTGTACGTGTTTGTTGTATGAAATGTGAGTGGGCGATGATACTCACTGAATCATCACTCGCCAACACCTCACATCTCGGCCGAAATCGCCATCAACAAATGTCAGCCAGGATTGACATTCATTCACCTGTCGTCGTCTCCGTTGTCACGATGAGGAAGAGTGTAGTGTATATTGATTGACACGCTACCGACTCATTCACTACACTTGCCACACTGCTTTCTTTTTCAGAATCCCCAAAGGCTGAGATAATCGAGGAGGAGGAAATCGTACCGGCGTCGACAGGTGAGTATATTTCACACTCACACTCGAATCCGTACATAACACCGGCCACTGTCCACACACAAACAAACAAACACACACAGACACATTCATGCACAAACACACAGTACTACAGCCAGTATCACCCCTGAAATGCGCACACCACTTGACTACAGACAACACTCACAATCACTGGTGTCATGCACGCATTCAAAGTGTCAGAGTGAAATCCACAATGGCACACGCACACGCACACGCACACACAAACGCACACACAAACGCACATATGTTGAGTGGATGAGGTGGGAAGACATGTGACTCATTGGTTGTGGCCCTCATGGATTGAAGTAGTTGTGTGTCTTACGACTGTCGTGAGGTCCGCCTTACCATGTCAATCGTGCATGTGACGAACTCGACGACGACGACTGTGTGTGTTTGTGTGTGTGTGTGGGTTTGTGTGTGCGCACATGACTGAAGTCGACAGACTTGCACAGACTTCATTCACAATGACATCGTGCAATTCGATGATGTTCGTGAGAGACAGAATTTGATGCGTGGAGTGACGTTAGCAGTGATGAGACACCAGTGTGAGTTGGCGATCAATGTAAGTAACAGCGATCACGACATGCAAAATCTCTCCGAGTGTACGTGTTTGTTGTATGAAATGTGAGTGGGCGATGATACTCACTGAATCATCACTCGCCAACACCTCACATCTCGGCCGAAATCGCCATCAACAAATGTCAGCCAGGATTGACATTCATTCACCTGTCGTCGTCTCCGTTGTCACGATGAGGAAGAGTGTAGTGTATATTGATTGACACGCTGCCGACTCATTCACTACACTTGCCACACTGCTTTCTTTTTCAGAATCCCCAATGGCTGAGATAATCGAGGAGGAGGAAATCGTACCGGCGTCGTCAGGTGAGTATATTTCACACTCACACTCGAATCCGTACATAACACCGGCCACTGTCCACACACAAACAAACAAACACACACAGACACATTCATGCACAAACACACAGTACTACAGCCAGTATCACCCCTGAAATGCGCACACCACTTGACTACAGACAACACTCACAATCACTGGTGTCATGCACGCATTCAAAGTGTCAGAGTGAAATCCACAATGGCACACGCACACGCACACACAAACGCACACACAAACGCACATATGTTGAGTGGATGAGGTGGGAAGACATGTGACTCATTGGTTGTGGCCCTCATGGATTGAAGTAGTTGTGTGTCTTACGACTGTCGTGAGGTCCGCCTTACCATGTCAATCGTGCATGTGACGAACTCGACGACGACGACTGTGTGTGTTTGTGTGTGTGTGTGGGTTTGTGTGTGCGCACATGACTGAAGTCGACAGACTTGCACAGACTTCATTCACAATGACATCGTGCAATTCGATGATGTTCGTGAGAGACAGAATTTGATGCGTGGAGTGACGTTAGCAGTGATGAGACACCAGTGTGAGTTGGCGATCAATGTAAGTAACAGCGATCACGACATGCAAAATCTCTCCGAGTGTACGTGTTTGTTGTAT